TCCCCCCCCCCCCCCCCCCCCCCCCCCCCACAAAAAAAAAATAAATAACAAGAGTTACAGAAGATACTTACATTGTGAAGAACATGAAAATCTGACTCTCAGTAAGAGGAAAGCCATTTGAGAATGTTATATACAAACTGCGATCTTCCTCTGATGGTGGTCTCCACTCCTCTGCAAATGGGTTCAGTTTAGACACAAAAGATGGCAATTCTGTCTTCTTCTTCCTGTATTCTGGTCTGGAGCCCAACAAGCCAGCGCCACCACGAACCACCGTCCCTTCTCTGCCGGTACCCTCTCCAACTGTCTTGACCCATTTCTGAATAATCCCCGCTAATCCACTACCACCCCCTTCTTTTGCTTTGCCCTTTCTCTCTCTTAACAAGTCCTCAAAAATCATCCCACAAACTCCATTGAAGAGGTGAGAAATTGCACTTGAAGCCCTCTCTCTGTAGGAAAAGGTGTCTTCCAGAGGAAATGAATTGTGGTGGGCGAGGTGGAGAGTGAGGGGGAGGCGTACGGTGGAGGTGGACGGCACCGCCGCGTCGGCTTGGATGGAAGCCAGTGCAACTTCAGCCTCAAGGCAAACAAGAGCCAACACTTTATCATCGTGAAAACTAATCATCTTCATGAGGCCATTAAGGCCTTCTGATTCCAACCATAACCAGAAGGCTATGATCTTCTTTGCCACTTCCACACCCAAGCCCATCTCTCTCATCCGAAGAAACAAGTTCCTTTCTCTCTCATGGAGCCTGATCAAGGCCTGCACCGTGTCCATGAGGAAATGTGTAGAAATGTGAAGAGAGAGAGCAAGAGTGGTGTTCTGTGAGAGAAGTATGTGGGTTTGATGTGAATAGAGTGACTGTGTGTCTGTGTGAGAGTTGGGTGGATGTTTGGTGGCCATTTATAGTGAAAATCTTGGAAAGTTGTGACTGTTCAGAGATGGGTGATTAGGGTTTCAAGTGTCTCTTGGAAGGGTTATCAGTGTGTTCTACGCGGATCTGGCAGATTTTGAAATTGATAAAAATCTGAATGTATTTGCCCTACTCACTGTATTTATCGTTTTGGGACAGTTAGGGCACAAAATAGTTGGCGGGAAAAAAGTAACAACATTTCCATAAAAGGGATTAGGAATGTTTTATTTTTTTGGGGTTTATGTAAATTTTTTATCCTAAAGAGTTCTTTTTAAAATTTTTTTTTTTTTGAAAGTTTCATATATTGATGCTTCAAAAATGTTATCATAGATTTTTTTTTTTTAATTTTCTAATGCTCAAAAATGTTATCATGTCAGCATTAAAATGTGATATCACAAACTAATAATGCATAAAAAAAATAGAAAACGGACATAGTATCACCGTTGTATCAAATATTTTTAAGAGAGAGAGAAAGAGAGGAAAAAATATTCATTGCAAAGGTGATATCACGTCAATATTGTCATGTGGTATTACCAATTAATAATGTATAAATAAATTAGAAAATGGACATGATATTACCGTTGTATCGAATATTTTTAAGAGAGAGAGAGAGAAAGAGAGGAAAAAATATTCATTGCAAAGGTGATATCACGTCAATATTGTTATGTGGTATTATCAATTAATAATGTATAAATAAATTAGAAAACGGACATGGTATCACCATTACATTGAATATTTTCTAGAGAGAGAGAGATGCTCATTTCTATTACAAAATTTGAAAGGTAAAAAAAGAAAATGAAATTTAGATTAAGAAGTAATTAATCGCTAATTAAAAAAGTAAAAATTTAAAGATAAAAATGGGTAGAAGAAGACCAAAATGTTGTATTAGTTTAAATTTTGAATCTCAATGTAGACTTATAAATCCAAGCCAATTTAGGACGTGAAAATAATTAATTTAAATGAATAAAGATCGACTTCTTATTTAATTTTGATTGCCGATTTTAATTCAAAGGTTGATTGAAGTCTTTCTCTTCTGTCTTTCTATATTTAATCTTTAGGGAAAGTTAATACAGTCTGAGATTTGTCCATAAATCACATGGACCCTCTCATCTATTCAAAATGACACAACTATCCCATAATTTAAATTTCGGTATCTAATATTTTGATTTTACTACTTTCCGAAAACAAATATTTGATTTTAAAAGTAAAATGGATAGTTTGTTTAAGGAGTAAATATTGGGTGTAACGGTTATACTTAAATCTATTAATGAATCGGATTTTGATTTAAAACTGATTTGTCGGATAATATGGATTAATATTTTTATCAATAACCTGAATCCGAATTTGATATCTTATATTTCGCAGATTCAAATTCAGATTTAGATATACATATATTCGATTTGATTATAATCTGATCCTAAATATTTATATATTTTTATATAAATATTAAAAAAATTAAGTTATTATTTAAAGAAAATTAGTTAAAATTTATTTAATTAATTTATTTTGATCGGAGCTGATTTTTACCAGATTTGGATATGGTCCACGGAAATAAAATCCTTCAAATTATCGGATGAGATCGAATCGGACTTTTGAAATCGATTCAGATTTGGATTGGTCCGAATCCGATCCATTGTGAGGCCTAGTTACACCAAGTCATCATGCTTAAGACAACACGTGGATAAGTGAATCCTACATAATTAAATAACTATTTATCCATGTCATGCAGTTACTATTTAATGTGCGATCCACTTGTCCACGTGCTATATTATTATTATATCCAATATATCCTGCTGTTTAAGGCTGATTAGGATCCACCGATTGGTGACCCACAACGGCCAATAAACATTGGGCTAAAGGGCAGGCCTAGGCCTTAACATATTTTGGATGGGATAGCTTGGCCTGAATCATTACTTGTCCACCACCCTAGTAATGGATTTATCCTGCAATATTGCTGAAATTTGTTGGTATTATTAGTTGGGTCCGGACTAGACTAAACTCAGCCCAAACACAGGTTTGGTCCAAAGAACATAACCATATTGAGGAGTTATGTAAGGTACCCAAAAAAATTGATACCGTACCAATATTTATCATATTTATGAGTATTTTTATTATTATTATTATGATACTAAAGAAAAATAGTTAAAATAGTTACCACACCAGTAAAAACACCCAGAAAATGATAATTTTTTTGTATGGTAAAAATATTTACAAAAGTGATAATTTTTTTTTTATTAAAAAAAATAATAAAAATGGTTACCACAATAGTGTATGATAAAAATACCACTAAAAGTAATAATTTTTTTATTTGTTATAAAATGAACCACAAAAATAATAAAAATATTCATTAAAATAATTAATTTTATAAGTACGGTACTGAATTTCCGTAGTGTTTTAGATGCAAATCAGTCAGTAAGCCGAAACCAGTGTATAGGGTGTACCAAACACCATCCCCCCCCCCCCCCC